TGCACTGCGCCCCCCTCACTCCTGGACTCCCTGCCCTGCCGTCCCGCAGTGCCACCCCTCACCCCCCACTTGGCGATAACTATTGCAGTCTGACGGGTGGGGAGCCTGCTCCCCACCTGGAAACTCTCGGCAGTGGCGTGGGGCTTCCTCCACCTTCCTGCAAAATGGCGGAGGGGTTGCCCCTCGCCGCGCCGTTCCCTGCCCACCCCCCTGGACACAGTGCAGGTCCCGGACCAGTCACAGCCTCCCGCCGGAGTACCTCCCGATACTCTGGCATATCTGATAATCCGGCACCACCTAGATCCCAAAGGTGCCGGATTATCGGAAGTCTACTGTAATATCTATTTAAATGAATGAGGTCAGGAAGCAATAAATAAATAAATAAATAAATAGCCATATTAAAGGTCTTCAGGAAATCGTACTGATTTGTGCAACTGAAGGAGCAAAAATTTTATAAGACTAATTATACCATAATTTGAAAAACCAATTACTGTAGGAGTAACATAAGAAAAAGAGGCATGCATACTCACTATACACTAGATAGGTTAAAAATACAAAGGCTCAGATCCTACAAAGATTATGCATGGGCATTATGGACGTTAAATTTAGTTTAATCAATCCATCGACTAGTCGATAAGTAGGGGAGCCACAGCAGGGTTAGCTCCCGGCCTTAGGAGCTAACTCCGCTGTGGCTCTGCCTTTTAAATGTATTAACAGCCGGCAGGCTCTTACTACATTTAAATAGCAGAAGTGCAGTGTGGGGGCCCCAGCACGAGCACGGACAGCTAATTCCTAGGCCAGGCCGGGTCCCCCCCATTGGCACTAGCTTTTTAAATGTATAAGGAGCGGCAGGCTTAATTAAAATCTTATATAAAAATCTTTTGAGATGCAAGTATGGTATACAATTAAGGACAGACGAATCAGGAATAGAACAGTAACTTTTCTGACCTTCTGTGACAGTAGTGTGGGTTCCATATCACTGTCTAATGAAAGAAGATGTTCTGAATTTCTTTCAGCCAACCTACTCTGGCCAGCTAAAATAAAAAAAAGTGTTGTGTATTACTCATATTTAGCCATTTTAAATGAACTTTAGTTTCTAGGTGCTAGCTAAAGCTACATATTATATTACCTGACAGACATCTAAGATACATTTAAAAAAGAAGAAACACTGTTAAAGGCATGTCATCAACTTAAAAAAAATTAACTGAAAATGCTTTACTTACTATTGTAATAAGTACCAAAACTTACTAGAACTTAATTAGACGAAATTATGTACTATTTGTTTTTAGTTTACTTTGTATATTTGTCAGTTTCACTGTTTCATCTGTGTAAGTAGTTAATAAAGTTCAACTGTTTTTGTAGGACTTTCACAAAGCAACAACCAGGAAAAAAACAAGTGTAAAATTCTAATTTTAATAATCACAATAATTACCTGGAAGAATCTGGGGAAACTGTAATATCTGAAACTCATTTCAAACACATTAAAAAAAACCTGACTACCTTTCAAGTTAAAGGTATTCCTTTTAACATGAAAATATTATGAAACTAAAACTGTGTGTCACTAGAATGACTTTTTAGAAATACGGGCAGTCCCCGGGTTACATCAATCCGACTTACGTCAGAACCCTAGTTACAAACGGGGGGAGGGAGGACGCACTTAGTGCAGGGTGCCTCCCCCACTGTCGCCGCCTCCGGCGGGGGGGGGGGCACTTTCCCCCAGCAGACCAGGGAGACGCGGAGGGGACTTTCCTGGCG